GCCCCAAAACTGGGCATGGTGGTGCACACCTGTAATCCCAGTGCTAGGGAAAATGAAACAGGAGGTTCACTACAAGTCTGAACTGCATAGTGAGACCCTGTATCCAATAAATAAATAATGATAATACTTGTTATAAACAGATGTAAGAGTGTGTAGATTTTGAGCTTCTCCGTATCCATTCTAGGTTTCTGCCTCATTGATTCACATATGCTCTCAGAGCTCCACCCTTTTCTTCATTACCTAAAGTAGCTTCCTGGAAAACTCCTACTCAGGATTCAAGGTTTAGTGTTTGGATAATGAGTGAAAGAGCAAGGTGTGGAAAACAAAGTCTTACCTTGATGGTGCGGTCCATTATTATGATGTGGACATTCCCAGGACCAGTTAAAAACAGTAGTGTGAGACCCTGAGTTCCATCTTCAGCACTAAAAAATAATAAGTAAAATGAAAATAAGTCAGCAAGCATGGTTACCCCTGCTGATCGCTTGTGCATCCTTCCGTTCCCTCTGCACCCACTTTGGAGCTGTCCACTTCCTTCCATGGCCCACATCCCAACCCTGTTTCTGCACAGGGTTGCCATTGCCAGCACTAAACGAGCTGTGAAGCTGGGAAATTGCACTGTCTTCCACTGACTTCCTTCCACTCTCTCATTTTCATTATTGTTTGGCAACAACTTGTCTCATTTCTAGGGCAGCTATTTTCTTAGCAAGTGGAAAGATTCCAATAAACTCTTTAAATTTTTAGAAGCTGATAAAGCTTACTATGCTAAACCCACACGAAGCATTTTATTAAATCTTAAATAAAATAAACAAGTAAGTGAAATTTCTAGAACACCTGAGATGGGTAGTAAGAGGATAGATATTTGAGGAATAAAAATTGCCTTAGATTACCCAAAGAGGCACCTCATCTATGTCACCCTTAAGCTGCATAACATGCTTTTATTTTTTAAAATTATTGGAAACATTTTTGATTTGATAACAAGACAGTCCACAATCTACTTCACACCTCATTTACAATATGGGTACCCATGTACAGAAATCCTTGTGTTAATAGCATTTAATTACAGATCTTTCTCTGATCTCATCCCGGCCTCTATTCCAAAAGAGATTATAAAGTTATATAATGTCATTTGGAGTACTTTGTAAAATGTTGTGTATGATAAAACCTTTGGGTTCCATTACATACTAGTTTCTGAAAACTCCACACTAAAAGGGTTTTGTGTTAAATTAAGAAATACTGGGGACTGGTGAGATGGCTCAGTGGTCTAAAGCACCTACTTAGAACAAGCTAAGCTAAGCAAAGCACAGGGACCACAGTTCAATCCCCCAGCACCACATGCCAGCCAGCCCTGCCCCCTGGTGGTCTGAACTGGCCACACACACACACACACACACACACACACACACACAATAAATAAATAAAAAAGAAAGAAATACTGCACACGGCATCCTTCTTCTTGTCCTCCTGTGTGCTTTGGAAATCCCACAGCAAAGAAACATGTGTAACATCTCAGCATGTCCCGATTTTTCCTTGACCACAGATTACAGTTGTTTGCTTTATCTGGTTGGTTTGGATTTTGCCCACTACATTTATATAATTTCTTGGATCCAAATTTGAGAAACATGGCTGAGATAAGATTGGGCAAAAACTAAGTTCATGAAAAATTGAGGTGAACAACAGAAATGTGCTTCAAAGACAACATTTCCCAAACACCATCAGTAATTCTTAAGTAGATGCATAAGTCAAAAATAATCACAGAACTGTTGCTTTAAACTGGTGATATGAACCCTATTTTTAATTGATTTTTTAAGGAGCCTCATACTTTCCATATAGTCTAAAGTATTTGCTGAAAACTTTCCTTAATTTCCATACAACTTGCTGGTGCTTTGCCACACCAAGTTATGTATCCTACAAGAGTCCTGGTGGGGGACTAGAAGAATTGCTTTCTTTTGGCCTTTTAATTGCTCAGCCAGAATTGCCAAGAATGTCATACTGAGTAGGTCAGAAGTAAAGTGATTTTCTAAAATATCTTTATAGAATAATTTCCCTCAATTACCTGCTGGAAACAAAGATGCAATCACAGATCTTAAAGGCTAGCATTCAACCGATATTTGATGTGGCGCTCCACAGAACCTATTAAAGCAATTAGCTCAGACAGTATTATAGCGAAGCAAAGGAAAAGTCAAGACTGAAATTAAGATGGGAGTTTATTTTTCTAGCAAAAATAGCCTTTTCTCTAAAACAACTTATTTTTTCTCTACAGGTAGCACTACCTCTGTGGTAGTTGTTATTGTATGTAATTTTGTCATTGTATGATGAAAATATATGTCATTTTGCTTTGCTGGACAATATTTCTCATTATTGTACATGTCTTATGGTTGGAAGAAAGTAATATTTCGCAGTGCTAACTGCTTGGAGATGGCATAGTAAGACTAGTAACTATGATATGACAATATTATATATTGTAGCTGTGACAGAAACAAAGGGAAAGAGGGAGAGAAGACACAGAAGAGGTAGGAGGAAGAAGGAGGAGAAAAAACAAATAAAGGCAATGACTAGGAGATCAAAGATACTGTACATATGAGACTTTATCAATAACCACATTTTGGAACACAAAATATAAATGGTTTATTTCTAATAAGTTTGATTTTAAGTCATTTCCAAATGTGCTTGTCACTTGCCATTGTTTCGGTGCCTCTAACCTGAAACTCTGGCCCGAAGTATATAGCTTTTTTTTTTTTTTTTTTTTTTTGGCAGAACTGGGGATTAAACTCAGGTCCTTGTGCTTGCCAGGCAAGTGCTTATTCTACTGAGCCATCTCCCCAGCCCTGTATATAGCTTTTGAAGTTAAAAGTTCTCCAACACTGATCCAGGATCTTCAGTAACCAAACATTACACAGACAAGTGAGATGTGTCTATTTTTCCTATTGCTTATAAATGTGATCTTTGTACAATATATTTTACCCTGGAACTAGCATATGGGAAGAATAAATTTAGGAGTGAAAGAAGGAAGAGTGGTAGAGTGAAAGCCAAAATATTTTAAATCTATTTTGAGAGTTCAGACACTTCAGTGCTACTCTCAAATCTACAAATGAAGGAACATATTGGTATAATAACTTCGAAGGAAAATTTGGTGAAAATGTATGAATAAACACATATATATGTACATATACACACACATCCTTTGAATTAGACATAACTTTGCTTTCAGGTATCTTGTATTATTATTATTATCATTATCATTATTATTTATTTATTTGGTGGCTGCAGGGTCTCACTACGCAGCTCAGACTCACAGTGATCCTCCTGCTTTCACACTCCCCAGCACTGGGATTGCAGGCCTGAGCCACTACACCCAGACTCTGGCTGGCTCAGCCCATCCTGAGGGCAGAGCTGGCAAGGTATGTGGTACCAGGGATCACACTGTGGTCCCTGCACTTGCCTAAGCAGGCACTTTAGTCTGCTGAGCTCTCTCACTGGCCAACTTTCAGGAATCTTATTGCACATAAGTTCTCCATGATGTTCATAGCAGGCAGCATTGCTTTAGTAACAAAAGAGGCTCAAAAATTAATACGTTGTCAACTTGCTAAATAAATGATGCAACACTCACACAGCAGCATATGATCCATCCATAAAAATGAGGGGAGTCTATGCCTGGATATGTGGAAGAGGTTCCAAAATATAGTAGCCCACAGCAGCAAAGCCCAGAAAAGTCTGAGGAGTATATTGTAGTGGTTTTCTGTGCTTAGAAAGCTTCTGATATATTTCCCTGGAAATATTTCCAGTCATTGCCTCTGAACCACAAGAGGAAGATGGTTCCGTGATCTGACAGACTTACTTGTTGACATGGACTTGTCTGCCTTACAGTTTTTTGCTGTGTATCCATATCTTTTCCATTTTAAAAAATACATTCTTAAAGTTTTTATTAAAATTAGAGCTTGAGACTACAAATAGTATTTATGTCTGTAAGAAAGGGAAATGGAGAGTGGGTAAGTTTCCAAGGAAGTCCTGACCCTAGCCATCCCGGTCATGCTGTACAGACACCTGCAGGATGCAAGTCGTATGTACAAAATGGACAGCGAAGTCGTGCTCTCCAGGCAGTCATCCCCCCATGGCAGTCTCCAGGCAGGTATCCAGCAGCAGGTACGAAGCAGAATGCAGCACCAGATGCCAGGCTAATCATGGGTCTGCTCAGGAATACTGAGCCGGCCATGATTACTACAACAACTGAAGTGACCACCTGAAATTCTCTGAATTGAATGACATGCTCTATATGGAAAATGCTTAAAAAATTAAAAGTAACCTCACAAATCTTTCTGAATAGATTCTTTTTTTTTCTTCATTTCCACAGGTCCAAGAGTGAAACAGAAATCAAATAAGCGTAAAGTTATGTGGCCCTGTGCTGGCAGAGTAAATGGTTTCAAGGGTTTTGTTTAGAAAGTCATATTATTCAGCATGAGCCCTACTTTGGTTAAATTAACAAGCTAATTACACAAATGAAATTTAAGTTGAAGGAAAGAAGAATGGAAAGGAAACAGGGAGAAATGAAATTGCTTCCTGGAACTTAGTTGCTAATTTAAAGAAGGACATTACTTTAAATGAAAAGGAGTTGGCAGCTGATTTGCTGAACTATTGGTTTTCATTTCATTAAGTTACTCAAATTAGGATAAGTGAAAATATAAGTCAAATAATACTATTATTTTTCTCCTCATGGAGAGAAATTGAGAGAAATAGTAATGAAATAACTTGATTTTACTGTAAAGACTATAATTCTTAAATACATGACCCAGCTCTGAGGTATTAAGCTGACTTTACTGATAAATATCAACCAAAATAGAAAGGAGAGGGAGGGCTCACTTGTAATAGTTACGTGTGAAACTGCCTTAAATATATTTTAGAGACTTGGGTGCTGACAGTAGGATTACAGAAGCATGCCATCACTGGCTGTCTCAAGAAAGTGATTCACAAGCGCTAATGAGACATTCACCTTTCCTCTCATGCAGAAAGCCAGACTGGCCAGGATCCGGGCAGCCAAGAGCGGAAGTGCGAACGCGTACATGCAGAGCAAACGCAACGGTTTACTCAGCAACCAGCTGCAGGTACAGTCAAGCACCTCGCTGTTGTTAACGATCTATTTATTGGTGTCACATTGATCTGGTTCTACTTAAAGATAAAATTTTATTGTATGTAATCATGGAAATGGCTACTGAAACAACAAAAGTGTCCTTCTTTTATAACTTCCCCTACACATTCCAGTTGGCTGTAGCAGGTTAGAAGCTATATTATGCAATATTGCCAAGGAATCACAATTCCTATTCATAACAGGCAATAGTATCTTTATATCTCATTAATATTAGAGGTTAAAAAATGCTTAACTATTTAAATGCCTAATTCTGTTTATTTCAAAATTACTTATGTTCCTTAAAGTTCAGTTGGATTGGAGATAGGGCAGAACATGGTGTGACATTTTTTTTCACTTCTTAACAGAGAGAGAACACTGTTTATTCATTCAGTTCATTTTTGGTTCTGAAAAAAAACATGAGAAACTTTTACCTCAAAACTTTCCTTTAGGGGCCGGGGTGATGGCTCAGTAGGATAAGCGCTTGACTGACAAACGCAAGTATCTGAGTTCAATCCCCGGTTCCACCAAAAAAAAAAAAAAAAAAAAACTTTCCTTTAATAGTTAAGATCAATCATCTTTCCTTACAGGACATATTTAATGTATGTAGCCTGATAGCATTGGAGTTTAGTTTAGTTTTTCTGAATACTAGGCAGTCAGGGTCAGATAAAAGAAAATAGAGTACTAATTCAAGCAACTAGCTAAGCTTAAAAATGTAGATTATGGAGCCACAAGGAATGTAGTATGTGCCTAAAGAGAGTCACATGGAGAGAAAACATTCTCTCAGGCTTTTTCAGAGAGCAAATTGGTCAAGCAATGGCCATGACTCATCCACATGGCTGACACTGACAAAGGATCTACAAACTGCGGTACAGGGTTTCAGGATAAATCCTGAGGGGACTTGACTGACCGTGTCAGATACAAAAGTTACATTTCTTGTTATATAGGTCTTGTTTTATCTTGATCTTAACCATCCAGCAGAAAAGTGTAGAAACAAGATATGAAAAGTGAAGCCATGTTAATATGCTGAGCTGTGGAAGGCTCAAGTCAACAGATTCAGACATTGCCAGTCCTGTGGATAACCCACTACTATTGTGGAGTACTGGATTATATTGGAATCTTTTGCTGAATTCATGCACCTACAATATTTGGATGACAGTGGAATACCCATCTCTGACAAAACTGAACATAAAAAGATGACATAAATGAAGGACAATTTTGTATCTGTATATACAAAATAGTTAGGATATATAGCTACATTCTCCTAATTCAATGAGAAGAAAGATCTATACTAATAGTGTTTGGACAGGATATCATGTCTGCATCTTGTGCTATGAGTGACTACTACAAAGACAACAATATGCAATGTATTAATTGTTGTAACTCCTACCAACCTGTTTTGAAGCTGTCACATTGCAATTTTTTCTCAATAAAATTAGTTTAAAAAAGAAAGAAAGAAAGAAAGAAATGTAAAAGAAAACACTAGAGTGAAAGATAAACAGTTAAGATAGGAGTAGGGAGGCTCTTATCCAGAGCTCACTGGAGGTGGATACAGCGCAGCAAGATGGCTTTATTCGGAGTACACTAAGTTAGTTAACAGCCCCTCCCTATCTCTCCTAGAAATGCAAGTTAACTCATTTCCTTTAAACTCAGTTTGCACCTCTGCCTCTCCCTTAGGAGCAGGACAGAGGGTAACTTGAACTCCCTTCAGAAACCCCCCACCCCGTGAAGGACATCCACCTCCAGCTTTTTACTTTTTCCAGGAAAAGCTCTCCTAATTTCTGCCTTTTGGTTCACAAATTCATTCTTTGACTCTGTGACACCAAGAGCTTGTTTGGTAACTATTTAAATAGAGGCTTCAGGTTATCTAACTACCTCGTTAAATTTTATTATTCAAAGGCAAGGCTTCCAGGTTTACAAAGGTAGTCATTGAATGAGGAAAAGAGATTTAAATTTTAAATTCAGGGAGGCATATTATAAAAGACTTTACTTATAATTTGATAAAATGTATATCCAATTTATAAGCAACTACATATTTGTCCCTTTTGGTTAAAAAATAAATACAGTGCTGCCAGTGAATCTCAGAAAATAGGCCAGAGCTCTCTGTGCGAATGTGTAGCTAGGGTTAAGGTTATTTGCAAATAAAGTAGAAAGCACTCTGTCTTCTCTGTGTTAACAGTCCTCGGAGGAAGAGCAGGCCTTTGTTACCAAATCGGGCTCCAGCTTTGAAACCCAGCACCACCACCTGCTGCACTGCCTGGAGAAAACCACGGTAAGGAGCCCGCGGCGCTGCTGTAGCAGCCTGCCTCTGCCCAGTAAGCCCATTTGCTCTGGGGCATGTGTGATGTCTCCGAGCATGATTTCCCTCTAGGCAGTACTGAGAAATATGCTGAAAGACAACAGAAAGCTCAGAGCATTTAAAATTACTTTGGAAGACTACAGTGACATATCAATGTGGAAATTATGTTAGGGACTTAAGATGCATTATTCTTAGTGGTTGGTGTCTCATCTCTAGTCTAAAGTATCGGTTAAATGCAGATGTTGTCTTCTGCTAGCTAGTCCAATAAAGTATCGTTTCTTCCTTTTTAAGATACTAATGAAAAAGGAAAAGAATGAAAATTCAAGTGTTTCTGACATCTGAATGAAGACTCTCAATAGCAGTAACAAAAAGGGGGAAACACTATAAGCATTTTTTTTTCTTCACAGATGTAATGAATTAAGGTAGAGGATAAAAACTGCTTCATGTTTTTTTAAATGACACATTTAATCACCGGCCACCCCAGGTGCCGAGTGAAGCTGCATGTCCCCTCTCTGGCTGGCCTGTCACTGTCACAGTGAGCTTGTCTGCTCACTGGGGCCACACTGTCAGCACTCTCATTTCCAGGGTATTCACCATCAAGTTGTCATCATTCAACAAACACTGCCTATTGCTTTCTTGCCTGTCTATATCTTTAGTTAAAATGCAAATATAATCATGTAATTACTCTGGTAAAACCACTCAAATAGCTTTATATTTAGCAAGATAAACATGAAATTGTTTCCAAGATGCATGACAAACAATGAAATCAGTCTAGCTTCTGCCCCCACGGAGCCTCTGTGGGTGAGACAGACAGGAAATATGGTTGTCCCTGGAGGACGCAGTGAACAGAGGAAGCAACAATGGGGCCACAGCAGAGGGAGCCTGAGGGCAGTGCCCCCAGTGGCCCAGCCGAGGAAGATCCTCCTGAGAGAACCTGCAACTACGCGGGTTGGGCAGAGGAAGCAAGGAGCTGAAAGGTGATGGAAAGAAGGCAGCACGTAGCCTTGGGGTGGGTGCGGGAAGAACAGGAGGATGAGGAGAGGGAACATTTGCAGCTGGCCTTCGGAGGCAGAAAGAAAGGGATAGCCAGGCGATGCTGCTTCTGCAGGTACATGACAATTTCATATTTATCTTGCTAAACAGAAAGTTATTTGAGTGGTTTTGCTGGAGTAATTACATGATTATGATATAGGGTAAATGAAACTCCCCACCTGAAAGGTACCTGGGATGAGTTCTTGTTCTCTAAAACCAAAGAATGAATTTTAGGAACAAACAGAGGTTAAGAGCAGAGTATATTTATTGGGCGAAAGAAAGCTTCTGTCCGAGAGAGGGACAGAAAGAGGGCCCCGCCAGGTTGTCCCTAGGAAGCTGTCTCCTCCAGGGACTTTTATAGAGTAAAACCATATGGGTCTAAGGTGGAGAACATGGAAGCTCTCTTAAGTGGGCATGAGGTGCAACAAAACTCTGGTCAACCAGTGGATTACAAGCACCATTGCTCAGGTAAAATTGATTAAGTCCAGGACCAAATGGGGAAGTAAGTCATAGCAAGCAGGCATGAATGTAGAACAGGAGTTTATCCAGTAGCCAGCCAGTAGCAGTTGGATTAGTGACTCTTCCCGGCTTCCTCAAGGTAAAGATCAATCCCAGATGCTTATCTTTAGAGAGGGAAGCATTTGTTCGATCTTTAGTCTCTAGGTCTGGCCCACAGCATCCATCTCTTGCAGTTGCAAGGTATCTTGTGTTCCATGCTGTCTCCTTGAGGACCTGGCCCTGTCTGTCTGCCTATATTTCTACCTAATTTAGCAGCCTACAGCAATCATATTTGCATTTTAACTAAAGATGCAGATATTTGCATTTTAAATAAACATAATCTGTTAGGATAACACTTAGAAAGATAAACAATTGCATTAATGATAGAACGCATTTCTCTTTTACTTTTACTTTTATCACTGTACTACCATTGAAGTTTATTTTAATCAAATGATTTTAACACCAACAAATGTAGTTTATGTTGTACTTCCTACTCATACATTTAAGCAATAACAGAATGAATTCTTTAATTCCAACCACTACTGAGATAAATTAAAATCTTGTACATTATGACTCGCATTATATGTGTGAATTTTACCTTGTAAGAGGAGACAGATTGTGAATATATTGTGCACTATTTTTTCTCTGAAGTTTAATATTTAACATGAAATTCTGTCTTGTCATATTATATGCTGGACTCTAAACAGTAGAATGGTAAATTTCATGTATTTCAAAATGCTTCTCTCAGCAAAGAAATGACAAAATGAGTAATTTAAACAATCTATTTCCTATTACCCAGTGAATTGCTTCAATTGTTTTACTAATACTTTAGGAAGAGAGATGGTTAAGTGAAATTCAGTACATGTGACCCTTCTATGATAAGACTTTTCCCGTTCACATAAAGGAAAAATAGTAATTGAAGTCATTTTCTAGTGATCAGACACAAAATATTTTTCCCTATATTTCCTCAGGTAAAACTCCTACATAGACATTTTTTGAAAGCAATCCTTTATTAAACATTTTTAAAATAAAATATAAGCAACGCTTCTATCAAATAAAGTCCCAGTATGTAGGTGATGCCTGCCAGCTGGCAGTTAGGAAGATGGGGGACAGAGGTAGAAAAGTTGTGGTCATGGACTGAACGCATGAGTGGAGCCCGTGGGGTTCCACAAAGGTGAGAAAGCAGCCCCAGAAGCTTAGCGCTAATTCCTCCTGAGTCAAAGGACGGTTTTGCTGAGGGCTACATCTTGCTTGCTTAACTGTCAGTCAGTCTTCTACATCCGGGGCACTTGAGGGAAGCCCCTAAGAAAGGGTCTCAGGTTTTTAACTAAAAACGTTGCAGTCCATGTGAAGGAGTTTGCTAGTCATACCACTCGATCTAGCTTGGCACATTCTTTAAAATGGTATCTTTTTCAAAACTGCAGTCTATTTTAAAAAATCAAATAAATATCAATTTTATAAATTTCCTATAATATTACCTATATCATTTTAAATGTTTCCCCTTTATTTTATAACTTGCTACTTTTACGCTTAAATTCATAAATGACACTTCAACATGAAGTTAGTCTATGAGTGGACCCTGCATCAGCGTACGTCTCCCGACTGTTGGGTCTAACTGGAGAGCTTTTATTTCCACACAAATGACAAAAGAGGTGGCTCTGATATTCTGTTATGAAAATCGTGGTAGTTATCTCTATCAGATCAAGTCAAACTTTAAGATTTAAACAGATCTATTTTTTTCCTTTTTAACATAAAAAAAAGGTGTCTGATTTTTCACATTTTCTTCCCGGTATAAACAGAACCACGAGTTTGTGGATGAGCAGGTCTTCGAAGAAAGCTGCATGGAGGTGGCGACCGTGAACCGCCCTTCGAGCCAGAGCCCCTCTCTCTCCTCACAAGGAGTCACCAGCACTTGCTGTTCACGACGACACAAAAAATCTTTCCGCATCCCCAATGCCCACGCGTCAGGAAGCCACCGAGGCAGCGTGCAGGAGCTCAGCACCATTCAGATCAGATGCGTTGAGAGAACGCCGCTGTCCAACAGGTACCCGAGGTCGCTCCGCTGTGTGATGGACCACAGCCACGGCCCTGCGGTCGCGCTGCCGCCTGTGTAACACCCAAATTCCAGCTCCGAGGCTGGAAAAAGATAAAACTGCTAGGCATGGCTGATGGTGCCCCCCCTTCTGTGGGAAGCTGAAGAAGGAGGCTTGTGAGTTCAAGCCTCCACTTCTGGGTAATTTGGCCAGAACTTGTCTTAAATGAAAGAAAATAAACTGGGACTACCTAGTGCAAAGCCTTGGATCAGCTCCTGAGGCTTAAATGGAACGAGTAGGAAAATTGATCTCCTGGCATATCCGTCACCAAAAGTAGCAGTTACATTAGTATTAAGAGCAGACAAAAAGGATGGCCAAGCATACACATAATTTTTTATTTCTTGAAATCCATAATTTTTTCTTATTTGCACAACAGCCTCTATCTACACACAGGAACCTCTTGTGTTAAGGGATCTAAAGTAACAGTCGACACTGCTAAAAGCACCAAATGAAATTGGCAGCAGGATAATTGAGAAGTATCAACTTCTTCATTGAAAACTATGCCCACACAAATTTCTTTTATCAATTTATAGTTTAATTGTAAATGTATTGGGCAAAATCAAACATAAAATATTTAATATTTAAAGACAAGTAGAGCTGGATGTGGCAGCACAACCTTTGATCCAAGCCGCTTGGGAGGCTGAGGCAGGAGAACTGCACACTTGACGCCAGTCCTGTTGACATAATGAGATATTATCTCAAAAGGAAGAACAAAATAAAATGAGCCAGAAATGTAACTCCGTGATAGAGCATCCCTGGTTTAATGTCCAACATGGAAGAAAAATAAGCTAAATAAAATAATAAAATTTGGCCAGACATGGTGGTGCACACCTATAATCCCCAATACTTAGGAGGCCGAGGAAGGAGGATTGTTGTGAGTTTGAGGTTAGCCTGGGCTACATAAGTGGATTCAAGACCAGCCTGCACTACATAGAGAGATCCTGTCCAAAAGGAAAGAAGGAAGGGAAGGGAAGGGAAGGGAAGGGAAGGGA